CTTTCAGGTAGAGACTTATTCATTCTCTTCATCACACCATTTACTTGTGGTGTCTTACGAACAAAGAAATTCCTTTGAATACCATGTTCTACATATAACCTCTTGAAATTTGAATCGTTGTACTTTGTCTCATTATCTAGCTGCAAATACTTCATTTTTCTTCCTATTTAATTTTCTATCTTTTACAATTTGAATTTGGTAAAGACTTTAGATTTATGCTTCAAGAAATACACCAAAATCATACAGGTAAAATCATCTGTGAAAGTCAAAAAATACCTAAAATCATCCGTAGAAACTTCTTTGATAGAATCCAACACATCATAATGCATATAGTATAAAATTCCCTCTATTTTGTGTTTTCAGTCTTTAACCTAACACGACATTGTCTCCCTAGTATAAAATACTTGAAAAAATATATTTTGCAACTGTGAATACTTTTCAATAGATTTCTCTTATATTGTTTCATCATCCCACATTCACTGAGATGACCCAGATGTATATGTCAGAGTTTAGTTGCATCATTATCAGACTTAACTAATGCAATATCATCTATAAAAGTGTTCTCCAACCGTTTGTAGACATTACTTGTAGTAATCCTTGCTCTTATTACAAGCTAGACACCTTAGCTAACTTTCATAATATCCATATCTCCACCAGACCAATAGGAGAAACTATTTTCTTGTAGAGTACATAGGGAAATCAATTTCTTCCTCAATTTTAGAATATGTTTGACATAAATTAATGTTTTCACGCCATCATCGTCCATGAAAATTTTAATGTGTCGTGATTTCTGTCAGAACAATCCATCTTCCCACTATAAAAAATACATTTCACATTGAACGCGAAATGCATCTAACCTCAGCTATAGAAATGAGGTAACAGAGGACGTCATGAAAAACTGTCACTTTACTCTTTGGTTTTTAAAATACTGAAGGGTAACATTATCTTTACATGGGCCTGAACCCCAACATCTGCATTTTTATTATTTTCAAAACTAGTGCATCGTACCTCTCGGTTTAAGTATAAAACTGATGGGTAAGATTAATTTATTTATTTTTTAAAAACTCATTACAACTATAGAATATTCATAAATTCACTGTCTACCCAGAATATTACATTGTTTACACATAATATTTCTGTAAAAATATATAACAAATTTTGAATTTGATTCATCGTCAACACTATCAGTAAGAATAAATGATGGATCATTGTTTCATTGAAATCTTGGGGAAGAGGAAATGTTTGGTGCAATAAATTTCATATGCCTTTTACATTCATTTGTTTTTGATGTAAAACAAAAAAGGGTTAGTTAAATAAAATAAATATGCATTTATATGATTATTGAAGAACACAAACTTTAAATCCAATTTATTTTCTACTCTTGCAATTTATCATAGAGAACTTTACCAAGTTTTTTTACACTTTAAAATTTTCATGTTATATGTTTCATTAACGATTTTTTTATATTCATAATGCTTTTATAATGTATGTCTGTTAGGTTTCACGCAGATCACTAATGGCAATGTCTGAAGCGTTGATACTCATTAAATAGACGGATAAAATTTATTTAAGGACGGTGAATATCCTCAATAAATACACTTAAATATCCCCTACGTTATGACAAAAACCAAGGTAAAAAGTATTTATTTCTACATACCCTTCAGTTTCAGTTATAAACCGAGTTGAAAAAGCTTTTATTTTTTATTTTTTAAAAATTAAAATGTTTACACAAAATATTAAAATATATTGTTTACAACAAAACCAGGTTTTGACAAATCTTTGGTCTTATTCCAATTTTAGTTATATACCTTTTGTTCCCCACAAACACTCCATAACTTATCCAATTGTGATAAGTTATTTGTTTCAATGATGAGAATTTTTTCCTGCACTTATAATCCATCCAAGAGATATGTTCTTAAGCGTTTCTAGAGAAAATATTTTCACAAGAAAGAGAACAAGATATATAGTGTTGGAAATATCTTGAGCAGATTTTGTTGTATACCCTTTGGTTAATAACGTATGAAGGTTATTCCAAAGCAACAACATCAACATGCGGGATAGATTTCAAGGGCTGGAAAAATGTTTTTTTCAAGAAGAACATTGAAGATTTTTCTGTCTTGCAATCCATCCAAAAGATTGATGCATACGAGTTTCGAGCCGAACGGATACATACAAGTTAGGGTTATGATAGAAATTTATTAACAAGTGCTTTTATAGTTAAACTTGATTATATTTCCCTCATTTATTTGAGAAATCAAAGGATTAGATGATTTGATTAACAAATAAAAAATAAAATTAAGTTTAAAATTGTAGGAGCTGAGAATCAAAGCTTAAATACTGAGCAACATTTTATATCGATTTTGGCAAAAATCGATGTATTATATACCTTTTTTAAAATAATAAATAATGGCGGTTTTCCAGATCCTTTGACCTTAAATTTTGAATGGCTGACATGAAAGATTTGTCCTCAAATGTATTATTTGTAGTAGTTTTCAATGCCCAAACTGTTTGCAATTGTAATACTCAACTATTTTGTAATTATTGGATTTAGTTCACTTCTTTTCAGAACTTGCTTTACCCTTGTTCCACCCATGATCTTGACCTCCACTCACATACAGATGATCGTTTTGACTTCTTTTTTCTACATTTTGTATCCTTCAAGAATAAGACAAAAATGTAGCAATAATCACATCAAGACTATTAGTGTCTTTCTCGTAGTTAAGAGATAGTCACGAAGTGGTCATAAAAACTTTGTAAAGAGAACACCGATATAATTTTCTTATTTTCGTCATCAATCTTTACCCCCAAGTTTCACTAGACTGGTGATTATGATGGTGAAGACATTGACATGCTATTGCAAGTTAGATCCTGCATCCATCTTTAGATTGTATAGTCAATGCTTTGCAAATAATTTGTTCATCAACTTCTTTGACATATACTAACTCTCTAATTTGTCTCAAACCTCTTTTGGCCTCTTTAGGTCCAAGATATGATAAATTACCTCATCTACAACACATATATGAATCAATCCCACAAACTTATCATTCATTTGCGTCTAATTGTTATCCTCCATATCGGTTGGTTTTCTCTCACGCATCGTCTTTTGTAAACTCTATTGAGCCAACAAGTCTTTAACCCTTCTTTGCCATAACTCAAAATTAATTGTCCCATTAAACTTTTCTCGATTTTTACACCAGGGTTAATCGTCATCGGATGAAATTTTTTAGAACATCAACCAATATAAAAGATTAAAGAAATAAAAATATAAAAAATGAACACGATCAATCTTTGTTAATAAAATTCAATCAACGATGTATACAACCACAACAACAAAACAATTATAATTTCATTTTAACTATGTGATAAATTAATATTATGGTATTGTAAACAATATATAATAGTACAACTCAATTTACAACAATACTCCTAAATTGTACAACAGAGTACTATTGTCTCACACAACCCAAATGCCTCTTTGTAACAAACAATTTATCGTAAGACACATTTGAGCCTAACACACACACACACACACACACACACACACACATATATATATATATATATATATATATATATATATATATATATATATATATATATATATATATATATATATATATATATATATATATATATATATATATATATATATATATATATATATATATATATATATATATATATATATATATATTCAACTATTGTTAATAGGATATTTATTGTAGTTAGATGTAAATCACAAAGGGTTAAATGCACTTTATTCTCTGTAATAATAGCGAGTTTTGATTTATCTCTTTTTAAAAAAAAATATTTTCGTCCGTTAACAAATATAGATTTCAAAACAAAAAACTTTTTAGCCCAAGATTCCATTTGAGATGCAGACGTGGCTTCTGACTGTTTGTTGACTGGGTAATTGTATTGCCACTTGGCTTTTTTTAATATTTTTTAATATTTTTATTTAATTGTATAAAATCTTTGAATTATTAAAAAATATACATCAAGTGGGTTTCAAACCAAGCACCCTCTACCTGCAAGCAATACACTCAACCACTACACTATATGTTTAAATTTGTATATTTATTAACAGTATTTAATGATATATTACCACAATACTGCCATCCTTTCAATACTGTCTCAATACTTCCATCCCTGACTCTCTAATGGTGTTTTATTCACTTAACAACATGTAGTCGCTCAAGCCCTTTCTATGTACTCTCACGAATCATCACCAATATCTCTATCATCCTCTGTCTCTCACGGATCACAACAACAATGTTTCAAAACTTCTACTTCGAAAAATTTTTGTTTCTTATCCCAATCAATAACAACATCTAAATAGATCTATGTTTGATTTAGAGCACAACAACATAAGATGGTAATATATCAAACACAATAATATATATGAAATCTGGAAATATGTGTTGTTGAAATGTACAGGCATGAATGTTGCTTGGGGGAAGCTCTTTAATAATCTTGAATACACTTTGTTCTTCTTCTTCATTTTTCTTCCCCGCTTTCTTTGACTTTGAATCAATGTATTTATAGTGATAGTTTGATGAAACTTTGAATCAATATTTTATAACGGAAGAATCACAACAAAATTTCTTTAACCCAATCACAAATATATAAATTGAAAAAACACTAGAAATTTTCTCTCAAAAAACAAATTACCATCAAGTTATAAGTGAACACTTAAAATTGTTAATATAAAATTTGGTTTTATCCTCCTAGATTTTGTTTAAAAAACATAGTAATTATTTTATTACTTAAAAATATCACAAAAGTAATAAATTTATTAAAAAATACTATACTTTTGAAAAAACACACCAAACACATTTTTTATTGACCCTTTGAGTTTTTTTTACAGACTGATCTTTTATTACATCATATTCTCACATATAGTCATTTGTAACTGCACTATTCAAATTCCTATTGAAAATGTTCCTCCACCATCACATTCTTTATTCTACCCTCTTTGCCAGATGCAAATTCAAAAGTTGCTATAATTCAGCCAAAATATCTTCAAAATCCCAAAATCCAAAATTGGTATCAATGTCAGCAAAATCATCTTCAACTTCCATCAACGGATAGTAGCTATCATTATCACCCAAACTATTTCCAGCTTCCGTAGCTTCATTGTTGATATCATTGTCAGCAACAACATTTTCAGCAGCATTAGGAGAGGAGCTTTTATTGGAAAATTTTGAAGAAAAAATGAAGTCAATTTTCTTATTCATTTTTTCAACCAAATTAGGGTTTTGAAGAATCATTTCAAACGAGTTCTTCAAATTATTATACCTATTCTCTGAAGCTTCTAATCTACGCACTAGATTTCCCACATGAAGCTTGTGCTGATTGAAGCGAGAAATATCTAATTCAATAGAGGCTTTTTCATTAGCAAGTTTCTCAATTTCTTCTTCAAATGCAACCCTTTCTACTTCTCCAGGAGAGTGACTGAAAACAGTTTTCTTGCGGTGAATATTACCAAGAAGACAATATTGACCTTTCCGAAAATATGGATTATAAAATTCACATTGATCCTGGCTTATTTTTCGGAATCCCTGACATTGAAACACAACAATGAACCATAAACAAGATAATTGATGTTTGTGTATAACAATACAAAGAATAAAACAAGATATTTCATACATAGGTGTTGAGTTGACGAACAAAACTGGAGAAATTGTTGTGTCTGAAATACTTGCCAAGAACATTGCTGGCAAATTTAATTTCATCCTTAATGATGAAACTGTTATTGCTTTCACTCCAAGCTACTATCTCGTCATTAGAAGGATCATCAACCAGCTGGTATGTTTTCCTTAGGAAATTTGTTGGACCACCGCTACCACCACCACCACCTGATTCCATTGTCGAATACTCAATGATGATTTTTATATTTTTTTTTATGTTTCAAAATCAACCAAAGAGCATTCTCTTATATACTAATAATCAAGTCACAAAAATTTATGCATAACGCTTGTGCCTTGAATTCATTGAGCTTCTTTGAAAATAAATTCGTTTGGAGTTACTTTTTCTTTTATTTGACCAAAATAAATTTAAATTATTATCCTTTCAAAAGTATTTTGTAAACACTATTATATTAATCAGTCAATAATATATAATACCAAACAAGATTGATTGAACAGTGTCAAACTTAATATAAACCACTTTATGATTTTTATTATCATATATATGAATAAACAAATTCACCTTGTATTTTTGAAAATAATATCTTATATTATGTCAATAAAATTTAATATTAAATTTAAATTATTAGATATATCAATGAGATATATCGAAATTTACGTCTTATAAATATTTATTAATTAAGTTAATTTTAATATATAAAGTATCTAATTAATATAATAAATAATTTCTACATCTAGTTTACGATAATACATTAATAAATAATATATAGAAATGTTAGTCAAAGATTAAATATTGAGCCACTAATTAAAGAATATCTGGATGATATGGTAAAAGTATTTTTCAGCTAGATTCTAAGAACATAGTCTTAGGTATGCAATAGTAAATTTTTTTAAAAAGAGTTTTGCCTCTAATAATGATTTTGAAAGAAAGGGATTAATCTTTGAAGTTGGATAGAGAGTGTAATTGATTTAAACGAAAAATTAAACTTACACACATATAGCTCTATTAATAAATACAAGTTGAGGTACCCCATCCACCTTCATAATAAATAATTTTGAATTAATATTAAAGAATTATAAAACAATAAATTTTATTATATAAATATATAATGTTATAACTTTTTTTTAAAAAAATATTTTAAATTTAAATTTATTATAATTATTTTTTGGTAGAATTAATTAATTTTTAATTTAATTTCAACACTTGATAAGATTCATTTTTTATTTGTAATTTTGAAAGTATTTTGAGAGATAAATTAGATATGTTCAACTATATTTTTTTGTTAGTTATTATGATGAGTTAGGTTTTATTTCCTTTCATTTTTTTTTCTTTTTTATTTGATAAATTTTCTTTATTACAAAAATAACTTTAACAAAAATTGTTTTATTCAATATTTTTTTCCAAATATTTATTCAAAAGTGTATTTTGTTTTTATAATGTACAAGTACCACTAATATACTAACAATTTTTTTGAATTTAAAAAAAATGACTTTTTAAGATAGAAAAATAATATTTATTAAAAATTATTCCAAAATATTTAAAAATAACATAAATTTGTATTGATACATTTAATTTTATATTAATACTTTTTTTGGGTATATATTAATACTTTTATTACTATACTTTTTCAAACATATCATTAATATCTCATCAATACATATCTTTTTTATTTTGTATTGGTCAACACATATTTAAATAAAGACTTATAAGAAAGGAAAAATGTCTGAGTTTTGAATTTGGATTTTCCATAAAAGGTCGTCACAACAAAACCAGTTGGATGTTACAATTAAGACAACAAAAGATATATATTTATTTTGATTCAATCCACCAAATATTTCCTCAGTTTTAAAAAAACAATTCTAACATATATTCTTTCAATAAATTTAATTATTTAACTTTAATTTTGAATTTTGAAAAACAATTCAATTTTGTATGCATACATTACCAATTTTATTAATATGAGTCATTTTTCTTTCATTATTTCTAAGATATCTAAATTGCTAATAAATATTATTTATAACACAAACTTTCACTTTATATATGTCTACCCATAGAAATATCGGCACAATACATTAGTTATTTTATTTTATTTTTTATTTATAATTGTAATATTTTCATATTCTTTTTTCCATCAAGAAATTGTAATATTTTTTTCCGTAAGTCTTGTAAATAAATGAAAAGAAGGAAATAAAAGAGGATTTGAGGGATTAGATCAATACCCTATCCAATGAGATTGAAATCAAGAGGAAACTATCAGAATCTAAAGTTAGTTAGGTCCTAACTTGTTTCTAGTTTGTATAGGATGCTTAGTCCATCATTGGAAATCATAGATTGACAAGCCTATGGGGGATAAACTTGTTTGCACACTGATTTTCTTTTTTATAGATATGAGTAAAAATACAATGAATGCATTTTGTTAGAAACATACAATTATGCCATCTATTTTGGATTTGTCAAAGAATTAAGTTGGAAGACTTGTAAGTTAAGGTAGCAAATAAGGATCCTGTTTCAATCCATAACATTTTTGATGTCTATCATGATCACATTCAATAGCAAGAATGGTGACAATGAGCTATGCAAAGTAGGCATATTGAATCCTAATATAAGAAGCAAAACAACCCATGCAATCACTATTGTTGTTTCTAAAAATACCAATAGATGCAATCAGTCTAGGACATTCAAGTGGAATCCCATTAGTATTGCACTTGATCCTTAAGGAAGGAGGGTGCCAAATGACCTCTATGATATTCTAAACTTGAGAGGATGAAACTCAACTTTGAAACTTTTAAAAATCCTCAAATCAGTCATTGAAAGACCATATCAAAGTATTAAAATGTTACCTAAGAAGGATGTTAATGTAATCACTTTAGAAAAGGCTTGTTGGGTGTTGAAATTTAAGTCTTCAAATATGATTGTACTTATATATTTCCAAATAGCGTTGAGAGTGAAGATGATAACAGTTGTTATGACAATTGAACATAGTGAATTCTATTTATAATTTATGGTATTGAATAGGGAAACCTCTCAAGTTACATCAAGAGAGTGGTTTATGGTGGATTGTAACCAATATCACATCCTTAGAGCAACATGGCATTACAGGAAAAGATGAGTAGAAGACTTTTCATCCTTGTTGCAAAGGTTGTACATTAATGGCATGAAGCAACCTCTAATCTTGAGGTAGAATCATATCTTATTCATTTTTTGAGATTTTTGAGTGAATCCAAAGTCATGATTCTCTTTAAAGAGTCCTTAATAAGCTCTCCTCGGAAATCTAAGGCTAATTTTAAATGGATGATCATTAATGATTGGGAAAGATCACAAGTCTCCTTGAAAGACCTTTGAATTTTAAGGTTTGACTTTAAATGATCATAATTTAGTCAAGTTTTATCTCCTTGAGCCTATTATTTTTCCACAATGATCTTAAGAGTGTGAACTTCAACTTTTCTTTTATGTGAAAAGCTTGAAAGTTGTTAAAAGATGCCTTAAGAGTTCAAAAGATTATAGGTCACTTCATGGCATTTTATCAACTTCATAAGGTCATAACTCTCTCAATTTTTGGAGTTTTTGGATGATTCAAGTTTCACAATGCTCTTTAAGAATTCTACTTCATGCCATCTTCATTGATTAAAACATAAATTTGAGTGGAAGACCATGTTTGAAGGCAATATATTATGAGTCACTTTTGAACTCAAAACTTGGAATTTTTCTAAGTCCACAATTTAGTGTGTTTTTCACGATTTTAATTTATCATAATTTTTTTATCAAATATCCAAATTAAGTCTTTCTTGGTAAATTGTAAAGATTGTGATGTGGTCTTTCAAATACTTTAAGAATTATGCCATAAAGCCTCTTGAGTTGGGTGTACCATAGATTTAAAGTTGGCACCTTTAAACTGATTTATTCAAAACAGTCAGATTTTGATTTTCATAATATGGCTTCTAAACACTAGTTTTGCGTGTGTTTTCCAATTAAACATGTTTAACAAACTTGATAAGGCCGGATTAAGGGTTAAAATGCAAGAAATGGTTGAGTTTTGACAACTTGCAAGTCACACTTTTGTCATGACAGGGTGTGCACGATTTAGCTTGATTGCTTATCATTTATCCTCTCTCAGCATTACATTCACTTCTCCTATAAATGCAGATCCCATTCCACTCATTTTCGCAAGCTTGGACAACCAAAATATCCCTGTCAAACTCTCTCTATAACTCATAATTTTGTAACTTCAAATTTGGTTCTACAACCTTTTTCAATCCATTTTATTTATTAATTCTTCATCCTTGAACTTCATTGAAGCTAACAGAAGAAGAGTCAAGCCTTGAAGTGTCCTAAATTGTGCTAGCCAAGTCAAGTTTCAGATATATGAATTTGACTTCAACAGGTAGATTCATCCATCAATTCTCTCAAAATTTGTTACTACAATGAAGCTCTCATCACTCTGATACTCATTGCATCATTTGTTTTTAACTGGAAGTGAGTTTCGATCAAGAATTTTCAAATCCTTACTAAACTTTTTTTCTTCTGATTTTCTTCAAATCGACTGAGCTACAGTTTATATAAACTTTTCGCGAGGGTACCATTGAAATCGTCTTGAAGAGACCAAGCGAATGACACCGGTCTGAACTCCTAATTTTACAGTTTGTGAGACATGCAATTCGCGTGGATAGATGTTGAAAATGACCAACGTGTCATCTCTCAACCAATGACAAGGCGCCACTTGTTTTTTCAAATATATTTTTTAATTAATGACTCGGTGGTTTATTCATTAATGTCCATGATATGCACAGCGTACCAGATCCCCTAGATTTGATTACTAACGAGCGTTGACATTGATCTAATGGCCTACATTATTTTGGTTTTGTTTTTATTTTCTTATTTTATATTTTAATTGTTTTAAACTTCAAAAAGTCATAAAAAATTTATTTCAACTTCTAAAATTCTGAAAAAATTCTTAAAAATACTTTTGATTTTTCTCTTTCTGATTTTTATTTTTTCACAATTTTATTTTGTAATTTGATATTTTTTTTAAAATTTTTTCACTTTATTTAACTTCTTTTAAATGATTAAAAATACTTTTCCTGATTTTTAAATTTTTGAAAAATTATGGAAGGATCTGATAACCTCTTGACAAATATTGGTCACCTCATTTTATTTTTATTTCTGATTTTACTATTTTTTTTACAATTTGTTGTTTATCTTGCATATCTCTTTAAATTTTA